TATTTATCTCAAGGTTTCATTTCTGTGTGTTCACGAGGAACAGTCGCATACACACATGGTAGCAGAGACCCATTCTCTACACTGCCGTTGTGGCTCTCCCTGCCAGACAGGGAAGGGGCGGGGAGCAACTTGAGACATGGATAGAGCACTTCCCCCCTACCCCCTGCCCATGGATCTCTACTGGCTCCTTCGGGGCTTCTGTCCAGCACACCATAAGTGACCAGCGAATCTTAACAGCTTATAAAGCAGTGCCCTTAGTTTCAGGGCATTTAGCTCGGCAGTGTTGTCAAAGATCTGAGGAAGGCTCCACAGAGTCCCTTTGTGTCCGGGTCCTTCCCCAGCCGAGTTTGACAGCTGAGACTTTTCAGGGGTAGGAAGAGGTCCGGTGAGCTTCACTCTCAGAAATTAGAGGGAGGAAATCAGGGGGGGCTTCATGCTCCTCTCAGCAGGGGAGTCAGGATCCAGAACCGGGAGCAGAGACTGCCAGGATCAGGTCTTTGCAGGCTCTTTTCTTAGTGCTGGCATTGAAAGAAGAGGGAGGGAGGGAGAGAGGGAGAGGGAGAGAGAGGAAAGGGAGGAAGGGAAAGAGAAAGGAAAGAGAAAGGAAAGGAAAGGAAGAAAAAAAAAGAAAGAAAAGAAAGTGGGTCTGAGCGCTCACTTTGGGGCAGAAAGGAGAAGGCAGCCAAGGCCGTAAGGAAGCCAGGTTCCATCACAAGAGCCAGAGAGGGTGGAGGGGAGGAGGGCAGGCAGATTCACGGGGAAGGGAGGTCAGGGTTGGCTCGTCTGGCCTGGAAGAGGCTTCAAGGCACACTGACGGATGTGTCCCTCCAGTATGTGGCAGCAGCTCTGGAGCGTTGGTCAGCATTCTTGGCTGTGAGTGACAGAAGCAACCCTATCTCAAACCGGCTGAGGAACCACGAGGAATGGATGACTCACGAAACTGAAGACGTCAGGCACGGCTGGATCTAGGCGCTCATCTGGTCTCTCCCAACATTCCTGTCTCCTAGTTCTGCTTCCCTCCTATTGGCTTCCTGCTAAAGCAGGTGCTTGTCAGGGGGTGGGGAGCATTGCCACTGGCGACTCGGTCACCCAGGTGAAGATGCGTATGTGGTACGTTGTGTCACAGGCCCCGAGTCTTCACTGCTTCCTGATTCACACTCTTTGCCGGGTAACTTTGTGGTGCTTGGCCACATCGCTTGCCTGAGTCAGCAAGAATGAGTTGGAAGTGACAGGGGGCAGTTCTGAGCTGAGGCCTCAAGAAGCTTGCCTGTTTGTGCCGGAGGTCTCGTGTGCCTGCCAGCCCTGTGAGGAAGAAGT